ACACGAGGGGGTGGGTGGCCAGCACCACGCCCGGCCGCCTTTGTCTCCCCAGTGGCGATGTTCACACACCGCTACACCGGGTGCTCATTTGAGGCCGAGTCGACCTAGGGGACGAGGTCCCAGGACCGGTTCAGATGATCGTCACCGCTGTTGGTGGTGGCCGTGAGCGGGAATGGAACTCGTGTCTCTGCCGGCTTCGTAGCGCAGCGCTCGGCCAACACCGGCGACGATCTTCTAACCCGGTCCTGGGACCTCGTCCCCTAGGTCGACTCAGCCTCAAATGAGCACCCGGTGCAGCGAGTGTGAAGTAGTGAACATCGCCACTGGGGAGACAAAGGCGGCCGGGCGTGGTGCTGGCCACTCACCCCCTCGCGCGTCGTTCCGGCCTTCATAGGCGCTGCTCGCTAACAGCGCTTGCCCAGACAGTCTGTTAAGGCCACACGGGGGATCTTTGTCTCGTATCCCTGTGACTCGCTATCCGTGTGACTCCTTCTCCGTGACTCGCTATCCGTGTGACTCCATCTCCGTGACTCGCTATCCGTGTGACTCCGTCTCCGTGACTGCTTCTCCGTGACTGCGTCTGACCGTCGTCCGCGTCTCGTCCCCTCCGTGTCTCTGCGCCTCAGCAGCAGGAGATGGGCGACTTCCGAGACATCAGAGGCTTCTTCACCAAGGCCGAGTGGAGCGACCTGGCCGAGTGCGAGAAGCGGCGCTACAGGAACATCAAGCAGAACCACGCCGTCATGCTGAACCTCGGTGGGTACGGCAGGCCCGAGCCTCTTCACAAATAAACTAATTGTCGTAGTGATTATAATGATAATGAGACCAGAACGTCGTAGCAGAGTGCCATGCACGGGGCGCCACGGTGGCTATGAGATGTTAACTACCTCGCCTGGTCTACAGGAGGTCGTGGGTTCGATGCCGACCCTGACGATGCCTGTCACATATCTGGAGTCTGCGTGTGTCTCTCCCCCGTGAAATGTTAACTACCTCGCCTGGTATACAGGAGGTCGTGGGTTCGATGCCTGTCCTCTGGGTTGTCGCTCCACAATGTAGAATCAACATCACGCGTTTAACGTATTTGGCTGCTGCTGTAAATGTCCACGTGGTGAGCCACTTGGTTGAGCTGTCATTTGTGGCAGCCAGGTGGCTTCTGAAGAAGAAGCCGATAGCTCAGTGGACTTCACTTGGTGAAGTAAAAATAGATTTAGTTTGTGTATTGTGTCGTTGTTGTAACTTTCCTGGCCCCGTGCCCCCTATGGGACATCTGTGAAAAAGAGCTTCATAGCTCATCGGATTCCTAATGTTGGAGAGTAAACCCACAACATTTACAAAAATAGTTTATTTTGTGTGTGTGTGTGATTTGTTTACCTTTCCTATACTTTGCACTCCTATCGTGTTTACTGTATTGCTTGGTGTTGTTGTAGCAGCCACATTATATAGATGAACGTAGTGGCGGTGGTACACCGTTACGCTGTGTAAAATAATCAGCACATTTTTGGCAATAATTACGTTTTTTTCCTCGCGATTCGAGACACCGGACAGAAGGATATTTCGGGTTGGTGGTGGTAGTGGTGGTGGTGCGTCAAAATCAGTTGTCGTGATGCCGTAGTGGCAGGAAGACGGAACTGTGACACGAGCAGAATTGAACACGAAGCTTCGCAGTCTGTTGACGTACAGCGGCGCCCAGTCTGATGACGATCTGCTGCTCCGTGCTCCAGTCGTGCCCAGTGTGATGACGATCTGCTGCTCTGTGCTCCAGCGGCTGCTCCGTGCTCCAGCGGCAAGATTTGACTCCTCGTGCCCCTAGAGACTCGGTGGGACGGTTCCTCGATACGACTCGTGGTGTCGCCACCGCACGTTCGGAATGGGGGACGCGGCTGCTGAATCTGAGTGCAACTTCTGACGGAGAGTCCTGCAGCTCACTCAAGGGGCGACAGCGACGCCGTCGGGACTGTGAAAAATAAGAATAGGTTTTACGCTTTAGGGGAATGAAACAGGAGGCGGTTAAGATGTTCAAACACCAGATAGATTGTAGCTTTTGCAAGGAATCAAGTTACCGCATTAACCACGCGTACTTGTGGCGAACACGACAAACAAACACTCTCTGATAATATTTAATCGTTGTCTTTGAAACTGATTGGTCTACCCCAGAGACAGCCTTCTTCATGGTCTAGTCTCACCAGTGTCAGACCAGAGAACAACACCAAAAGGCGACCGGTACAAAGACAATGCAGCATCGAGAGCATTGATAGCTCGGGATGAGCAGCTACATGACGGGACCTTTTTGCGAGTATCAAAGTGTGAAAAATAAAAATCGATTTTTCCCTTTCTGGCAATCAAACAGGAGGGAGGCGTTAAGATGTCCACACACCAAATAGATTATTCCTTTTGCAAGGAATCAAAGCTACTGCATTAACCAAGCGTGCTTGTGGCGAACACGACAAACAAACACTCTCCGATAATAATCACATCGTCAGGACTGTCTTACGAGGAACCGGTGTGTCGCTATGCTGCACCGGTGTACCGCCAATACGTCCAAATAACAATGACCGACTGCCTCCTTGCGCAGGGATGAACCCGGCCCAGCCCGAGTTCATGCGCGCACGCGGCAAGCGCAGGGCGAGGGGGAATGGAGCGGAGTGCGGGCGGTCGAGCGACTCCGACGAGGAATGGACGAGGAGGAGGAAGAGGAAGGAGGTGGCGGTGCACGGAGGACGAAGAGGCGGAGGAGGCAAACGTAAAAGGGCGCTTGCACAGCGTGCAGAAACCCCCTGTAGACTCACACAGAGACCCCTGTAGACTCACGCAGAGACCCCCTTTAGACTCACACAGAGACCCCCTGTAGACTCACACAGAGACCCCCTGTAGACTCACACAGAGACCCCTGTAGACTCACGCAGAGACCCCCTGCAGACTCACACAGAGACCCCCTGTAGACTCACACAGAGACCCCTGTAGACTCATACAGAGACCCCCTGTAGACTCACACAGAGACCCCCTGTAGACTCACACAGAGACCCCCTGTAGACTCACACAGAGACCCCTGTAGACTCACACAGAGACCCCTGTAGACTCACACAGAGACCCCCCGTAGACTCACACAGAGACCCCCTGTAGACTCACGCAGAGACCCCTGTAGACTCACACAGAGACCCCTGTAAACTCACACAGAGACCCCTGTAAACTCACACAGAGACCCCTGTAGACTCGCACAGAGACCCCCTGTAGACTCACACAGAGACCCCCTGTAGACTCACACATAGACCCGTGTAGACTAACACAGAGACCCCCTGTAGACTCACACAGACCTGTGTAGACTCACACAGAGACCCCCTGTAGACTCACACAGAGACCCCTGTAAACTCACACAGAGACCCCTGTAGACTCACACAGGGACCCCTGTAGACTCACACAGAGGCCCCCTGTAGACTCACACAGAGACCCCCTGTAGACTCACACAGAGACCACCTGTAGACTCACACAGAGACCCCTGTAGACTCACACAGAGCGCCCTGTAGATTCACACAAAGACCCCTGTAGACTCATGCAGAGGCCCCCTGAAGACTCACGAAGAGACCCCCTGTAGACTCACACAGAGACCCCTGTAGACTCACACAGAGACCCCCAACCCATGGAACCTGGTTCTGTCCTGTGATAACAGTCTGTTAAGGCTGCACAAGGGAGATCATTAATTTATTTGTAAATATGTGAGTGAGTAAATGCCTGCATGCGTAAATACACACGTGGGTGTGTTCACACGTGTGTGCGTGTGTTAACGGGTATCCATGTGTTCACACACATGGACACGTGTGTGCGTGTGTTCACTTGTGTGCGTGTGTTCATGTGTGTGTGGGTTCACACGTGCGTGCGTGTGTTCACGTGTGTGTGCGTGTGTTCATGTGTGTGTGGGTTCACACGTGCGTGCGTGTGTTCACGTGTGTGTGCGTGTGTTCACACGTGTGTGCGTGTGTTCACGTGCGTGTGTTCACGTGTGTGCGTGTTTTCACGTGTGTGCGTGTGTTCACACGTGCGTGTGTTCACGTGTGTGTATTCACACGTGTGTGCGTGTGTTCACACGTGTGTGTGTGTGTTCACGCAGGAGGAGGCAAGGGGGCTGCTTCACGCTGGGCTACCGTGGGAGAGTCGCACGCGAGGGCAGCTCCCAGCAAGCGCAAGGTCTCTGTGCACAGCGCACGGCACTCCTCTCGTTACAGCTGCTGTTGTTGTTGTCTTTAGTTTGTTGACCTTCCCACGCACCTCCCATTAGCGAGGTTGGCTACGTACGGTGCCAAAGAAATTCAACATACGTACGGACTACTAAACACTACTATACCAGGGACGTGCGGTCAGGGGAGGCAGGCGAGGCTTGAGCCTCACCTGTCATATACTCCAATGAAAATAGCTGTTACGAAAAGTAAAAAATAAAAATTTCCACTGCTCTGTTATAAATGTAATTTCTGTATAATTCCAATCATTACAGAGAGATAGTAACAGGCACGCGCTTATTGCCTGCGCTCCATCCAGTTTCTGAGGGGTTGCGCAATCAGAGGGGAGGCTGAGCTCGTCGCTGCCTCACCTCTCGTCTCCCTGTATTTGCAGCGGAGCTCCGCAAATTTGGCGATTTTGACGATCAAAATTATTGGAGTCGTACAGAAATGACGAAACACAGATCAGTGGAAGAATCTTAATTTGTATTTTATTACTTTTTACTTTTCGTAGAAGAGTCTTGGCCTGCCATACCCACGGAGGTTCAGCATGACGACGGCATGGTTCTGCTTGATGTCTGGAATCAGATATACAGAATCAGAATATCAGAATTAGAATATGTATTGTAATGGAGGAATCCGATGAGGTGTCAGGGTTGAGATCGAACCCGCGACCTCCTGCGTACCAGGCGAGGGAGTTAACATCTCCTAGCCACCGCTGGTCACCGCACCAACTCTGTCCCCCACACCCCCTTCCGACCCCTCACCCCACCGCCCCCTCCGCTCAGACTAAAGTGGAAGCCCTGGAGTACGTGTGGAGCATCTTGCAGGGCGTGGAGGAGCAGCAGCAGGAGGAGGAGTTCAGGGGATTTGAGCTGAGGGAGGTGCACAAGGCCAGGATGGCGATGTTCAGGCTGGAGCGCAGAGCCACCGCCTGCAAGGAGGCCCTGAGGGTGGTGCTCCAGAGGATACGTGGAGGTGCGTAGCCTGCAGCGGTGATTTCTATTCACACCGCAACTCCACGCTCCCCTCTATTCACACCGCAACTCCACGCTCCCCTCTATTCTCACCAGAACTCCACGCTCCCCCTCTATTCTCACCGGAACTCCACACTCCACCTCTATTCTCATCGGAACTCCACACTCCACCTCTATTCCCACCGGAACTCCACGCTCCCCTCTATTCTCACCGGAACTCCACACTCCACTCTATTCTCACCGGAACTCCACGCTCCCATCTATTCTCACCGGAACTCCACACTCCCCTCTATTCTCACCGGAACTCCACGCTCCCCTCTATTCTCACCGGAACTCCACGCTCCCCCTCTATTCTCACCGGAACTCCACACTCCCCTCTATTCTCACCGGAACTCCACGTTCCCCTCTATTCTCACCGGAACTCCACGCTCCCCCTCTATTCTCACCGGAACTCCACACTCCCCTCTATTCTCACCGGAACTCCATGCTCCCCTCTATTCTCACCGGAACTCCATGCTCCCCTCTATTCTCACCGGAACTCCACGTTCCCCTCTATTCTCACCGGAACTCCACGCTCCCCTCTATTCTCACCGGAACTCCACGCTCCTCTATTCTCACTGGAACTCCACGCTCCCCTCTATTCTCACCGGAACTCCACACTCCCCTCTATTCTCACCGGAACTCCACGCTCCTCTATTCTCACCGGAACTCCACGCTCCCCCTCTATTCTCACCGGAACTCCACACTCCCCTCTATTCTCACCGGAACTCCACGCTCCCCTCTATTCTCACCGGAACTCCACGTTCCCCTCTATTCTCACCGGAACTCCACACTCCCCTCTATTCTCACTGGAACTCCACGCTCCCCTCTATTCTCTTCGGAACTCCACGCTCCCCTCTATTCTCACCGGAACTCCACACTCCACTCTATTCTCACCGGAACTCCACGCTCCCATCTATTCTCACCGGAACTCCACACTCCCCTCTATTCTCACCGGAACTCCACACTCCCCTCTATTCTCACCGGAACTCCACGCTCCCCTCTATTCTCACTGGAACTCCACGCTCCCCCTCTATTCTCACCGGAACTCCACGCTCCCCTCTATTCTCACCGGAACTCCACGCTCCCCTCTATTCTCACCGGAATCCACGCAACCACGGGGAGGTACAACACGCAGACTCCACACATACAGGGTGAGTCGTCAGGGTCGGGATCGCTTCCACGACCTCTCGTAGACCACGCGAGGGAGTCAACATCTCGCCACGGAGAAGAGAGAGAGAGACACGCGGGCTCCGGATGTACGGCAGGCTTCGTCAGGGTCGGGATGGAACCCACGACCTCCCGTACACCGGGAGAGGTGGTCAACATCTCGCCGCGTTTGCCCGCAGGCTCCTCCGTGCCGCCGGCCTCCTCCGCCCAGGCTGCGGCGGTGTCGCTCAGCGCTCGCTCTCGCTACGGCCTGCGGCAGCGCGAGAGGAAAGTCTACACAGAGGTGGAGGAGCCCCAGGACGACGACTTCTTCTGTGAGACCCCCTGCTCCCTCTACCTCTCTCTCTCACTGTCTCAGTCACTCACTGTCACATTCTCAACTATCTCTCTCACTTTGTTACACTCTCACTGTCTCACACTCTCACCTATCTCTCTCGCTTTGTTACACTCTCACTGTCTCACACTCTCACCTATCTCTCTCACTTTGTTACACTCTCACTGTCTCACACTCTCACCCATCTCTCTCGCTTTGTTACACTCTCACTGTCTCACACTCTCTCCTATCTCTCTCACTTTGTTACACTCTCACTGTCTCACACTCTCTCCTATCTCTCTAACTTTGTTACACTCTCACTGTCTCACACTCTCACCTATCTCTCTCACTTTGTTACACTCTCACTGTCTCACACTCTCACCTATCTCTCTCACTTTGTTACACTCTCACTGTCTCACACTCTCACCTATCTCTCTCGCTTTGTTACACTCTCACTGTCTCACACTCTCACCTATCTCTCTCACTTTGTTACACTCTCACTGTCTCACACACTCACCTATCTCTCTCGCTTTGTTACACTCTCACTGTCTCACACTCTCACCTATCTCTCTCGCTTTGTTACACTCTCACTGTCTCACACTCTCACCTATCTCTCTCGCTTTGTTACACTCTCACTGTCTCACACTCTCACCTATCTCTCTCGCTTTGTTACACTCTCACTGTCTCACACTCTCACCTATCTCTCTCACTTTGTTACAGTCTCACTGTCTCACACTCTCACCTATCTCTCTCGCTTTGTTACACTCTCACTGGCTCACACTCTCACCTATCTCGCTCGCTTTGTTACACTCTCACTGTCTCACACACTCACCTATCTCTCTCGCTTTGTTACACTCTCACTGTCTCACACTCTCACCTATCTCTCTCACTTTGTTACACTCTCACTGTCTCACACACTCACCTATCTCTCTCGCTTTGTTACACTCTCACTGTCTCACACTCTCACCTATCTCTCTCACTTTGTTACAGTCTCAATGTCTCACACTCTCACCTATCTCTCTCGCTTTGTTACACTCTCACTGTCTCACACTCTCACCTATCTCTCTCGCTTTGTTACACTCTCACTGTCTCACACTCTCACCTATCTCTCTCGCTTTGTTACACTCTCACTGTCTCACACCCTCACCTATTACTCTCACTTTGTTACACTCTCACTGTCTCACACACTCACCTATCTCTCTCGCTTTGTTACACTCGCACTGTCTCACACGCTCACCTATCTCTCTCGCTTTGTTACCCTCTCACTGTCTCACACTCTCACCTATCTCTCTCACTTTGTTACACTCTCACTGTCTCACACTCTCACCTATCTCTCTCGCTTTGTTACACTCTCACTGTCTCACACTCTCACCTATCTCTCTCACTTTGTTACACTCTCACTGTCTCACACACTCACCTATCTCTCTCGCTTTGTTACACTCTCACTGTCTCACACTCTCACCTATCTCTCTCGCTTTGTTACACCCTCACTGTCTCACACTCTCACCTATCTCTCGCTTTGTTACACTCTCACTGTCTCACACTCTCACCTATCTCTCTCGCTTTGTTACACTCTCACTGTCTCACACTCTCACCTATCTCTCTCACTTTGTTACAGTCTCACTGTCTCACACTCTCACCTATCTCTCTCGCTTTGTTACACTCTCACTGTCTCACACTCTCACCTATCTCTCTCGCTTTGTTACACTCTCACTGTCTCACACACTCACCTATCTCTCGCTTTGTTACACTCTCACTGTCTCACACTCTCACCTATCTCTCTCACTTTGTTACACTCTCACTGTCTCACACACTCACCTATCTCTCTCGCTTTGTTACACTCTCACTGTCTCACACTCTCACCTATCTCTCTCACTTTGTTACAGTCTCAATGTCTCACACTCTCACCTATCTCTCTCGCTTTGTTACACTCTCACTGTCTCACACACTCACCTATCTCTCTCGCTTTGTTACACTCTCACTGTCTCACACTCTCACCTATCTCTCTCACTTTGTTACACTCTCACTGTCTCACACACTCACCTATCTCTCTCGCTTTGTTACACTCTCACTGTCTCACACTCTCACCTATCTCTCTCACTTTGTTACAGTCTCAATGTCTCACACTCTCACCTATCTCTCTCGCTTTGTTACACTCTCACTGTCTCACACTCTCACCTATCTCTCTCGCTTTGTTACACTCTCACTGTCTCACACTCTCACCTATCTCTCTCGCTTTGTTACACTCTCACTGTCTCACACCCTCACCTATTACTCTCACTTTGTTACACTCTCACTGTCTCACACACTCACCTATCTCTCTCGCTTTGTTACACTCGCACTGTCTCACACGCTCACCTATCTCTCTCGCTTTGTTACCCTCTCACTGTCTCACACTCTCACCTATCTCTCTCACTTTGTTACACTCTCACTGTCTCACACTCTCACCTATCTCTCTCGCTTTGTTACACTCTCACTGTCTCACACTCTCACCTATCTCTCTCACTTTGTTACACTCTCACTGTCTCACACACTCACCTATCTTTCTCGCTTTGTTACACTCTCACTGTCTCACACTCTCACCTATCTCTCTCGCTTTGTTACACTCTCACTGTCTCACACTCTCACCTATCTCTCTCGCTTTGTTACACTCTCACTGTCTCACACTCTCACCTATCTCTCTCGCTTTGTTACACTCTCACTGTCTCACACTCTCACCTATCTCTCTCACTTTGTTACAGTCTCACTGTCTCACACTCTCACCTATCTCTCTCGCTTTGTTACACTCTCACTGTCTCACACTCTCACCTATCTCTCTCGCTTTGTTACACTCTCACTGTCTCACACACTCACCTATCTCTCTCGCTTTGTTACACTCTCACTGTCTCACACTCTCACCTATCTCTCTCACTTTGTTACACTCTCACTGTCTCACACACTCACCTATCTCTCTCGCTTTGTTACACTCTCACTGTCTCACACTCTCACCTATCTCTCTCACTTTGTTACAGTCTCAATGTCTCACACTCTCACCTATCTCTCTCGCTTTGTTACACTCTCACTGTCTCACACTCTCACCTATCTCTCTCGCTTTGTTACACTCTCACTGTCTCACACTCTCACCTATCTCTCTCGCTTTGTTACACTCTCACTGTCTCACACCCTCACCTATTACTCTCACTTTGTTACACTCTCACTGTCTCACACACTCACCTATCTCTCTCGCTTTGTTACACTCGCACTGTCTCACACGCTCACCTATCTCTCTCGCTTTGTTACCCTCTCACTGTCTCACACTCTCACCTATCTCTCTCACTTTGTTACACTCTCACTGTCTCACACTCTCACCTATCTCTCTCACTTTGTTACACTCTCACTTTCTCACACTCTCACCTATCTCCCTCTATTGCTCCCGCGCTCTCACTCGATATATTCCACCTGCTCCCTCTCACTCTCTCCCCCTCGCCCTCCCTCTCACACGCTCCCTTTCTCGCACTCTCACTCACCTCTCTCTCTTTTGCTCCTCGCTCGGGGATGCAGGGAGGGAGGAGAGGGATGCAGGGAGGGTGACAGGGAATACATCTCCGATGGGCGAGCTAAATAAGTTCACTATGCAGAGAGGGAGGGAGGGAGGCATCTGTCTGGAGCGCTCCTCACCCTCTCACTCTCTCACAGTGCCACTGCTGCTGCTGCTGTTGCTACTGCGATTCGCCCCCCTCCTGCTGCTGCTGCTGTGGCTCTCAGTCTGCGAGCTGTGCAGGGATTTCTACCTGGGGGAGTGCTCCGTGCACGGCCCGCCAGAGTTCATCGCGGACGCGGCCGTGGCCCCGGGAGTGGCCGACAGGGCCCGGCTCAGCCTGCCCCAGGGCCTCACCGTCGGCGCCTCCTCCATCGCCGGCGCCGGCCTCGGGGTGTGGAGCAACAGGAAGAAGCTGCCCAAGGGGGTGATGTTTGGGCCCTACCAGGGAGAGGTGTCTGAGGAGAACCCCGTGAGCGAGTACTGCTGGCTGGTGAGCTGCTGCTGCTGCCACTGCCACTGCTGCAGCCTCCTCCTATTCCTACATCATCATCGTCGTTGTCGTGTGTGGAGAGGAGGCTCGTGAGGGAGATACAGAGAAACCCATAGCTTCACACAGTCACCCACAGACTCACACAGAAGAGACCCAGAGCCTCACACGGAGACCCAGAGACTCGCACAGAGACCCGGAGACTCGCACAGAGACCCACAGACTCACACAGAGACCCAGAGACTCGCTCAGAGAGACCCACAGACTCACACAGAGACCCAGAGACTCACACAGAGCCTTAGAGGCTCACACAGGGACCCACAGACTCACAGAGAGACCCACAGACTTGCACAGAGACCCACAGACTCACACAGAGACCTAGAGACTCACACAGAGACCTAGAGACTTGGACAGAGACTCAGAGACTCACACAGGGACCCACAGACTCACAGAGAGACCCAAAATTTAACGTCATTATGAGTTCAACTTGTAACCCACAGTAGCCGCTCGCTCGCAAGGACAGAACAAGTTCGATGCGTAAGGAGGAACCACAGACTCGTGGTTCCTCCTCACGCACTCCTTACGCAAAAATAAACCACGACACCTCGCGGCTTATCTCGTCAAGAAGCATAAACCATCATCACTCAAACTCTGTTCATGCTCGCAGCAGCAGCAGCGGCGTTTGGCTACCCATCGTGCAAAGACGATGGTCAGCGCATGGCGCGGCTCTTACAGACGCACTTCTGCGGCCGTCTGGAAGGTTCTTGCTTCCAATATGAGGAAGCCACTGGGAGCTATGCACTTTTAAATCTTGTAGATTTAAAATTCATTTCTTTAGAACTGCTCTTAGTGTTTAGTTTGTTGTCCTTCCCCCCGCACCTCCGATCAGCACGGTTGGCTACGTCCGGTACGAAAGAAGTTCAAGTTACGGTCCAACTCACGTGAGTTATCTGTGGATCTGCTCGTGTGCGTGTGTGTTTCAGATTTACAAAAACAAAAAGGATCGTGAATATGTTGACGCTCAGGATGAATCTAAATCAAACTGGATGAGGTGATTCTTGTCTTAAGGACCACTGGACAGAGAGACCAGAACCACTCCACACAGAGACCAGAACCACTACAGAGACCAGAACCACCAAACAGAGACCAGAACCGCTACACACAGAGACCAGAACCACTACAGAGACCAGAACCACTACACACAGAGACCAGAACCACCACACACAGAGACCAGAACCACTACACAAAGTGACCAGAACCGCTACACACAGAGACCAGAACCACTACAGAGACCAGAACCACTACACACAGAGACCAGAACCACTACACACAGAGACCAGAACCACCACACACAGAGACCAGAACCACTACACACAGAGACCAGAACCACCACACAAAGTGACCAGAACCACTACACACAGAGACCAGAACCACTACACACAGAGACCAGAACCATGACATACAGAGACCAGAACCACCACACAGAGAGACCAGAACCACTGCACATAGAGACCAGAACCACTACACACAGAGACCAGAACTACTACACACAGAGACCAGAACCACTACAGAGACCAGAACCACTACACAGAGAGACCAGAACCACTACACACAGAGACCAGAACCACTAGACACAGAGACCAGAACCACTACACACAGAGACCAGAACCACGACACACAGAGACCAGAACCACCACACAAAGTGACCAGAACCACTACACACAGAGACCAGAACCACTACACACAGAGACCAGAACTACTACACACAGAGACCAGAACTACTACACACAGAGACCAGAACCACTACAGAGACCAGAACCACTACACACAGAGACCAGAACCACTACACATAGAGACCAGAACCACTACACACAGAGACCAGAACTACTACACACAGAGACCAGAACCACTACACACAGAGACCAGAACTACTACACACAGAGACCAGAACCACTACAGAGACCAGAACCACTACACAGAGAGACCAGAACCACTACACACAGAGACCAGAACCACTAGACACAGAGACCAGAACCACTACACACAGAGACCAGAACCACGACACACAGAGGCCAGAACCACTACAGAGACCAGAACCACCACACACAGAGGCAAGAACCACTGTACACAGAGACCAGAACCACTCGAGGCCAGAACCACTACACACAGACCAGAAGCACCATACAGAGTGACCAGAGCCACTACACACAGAGACCAGAACCACCACACACAGAAACCAGAACCACTGCACACAGAGACCCTGGGCCTCCCCTTGGTCGACTCGGCATCAAATGAGCACCCGGTACTGAGCGTGGTTCCAGCCCCACCACCCCAACGTAGCGCCCAGTGCCGGCCCTTAATAGGCGCTCGCTAACAGCGCCCACCCCGCCCCCCGCGTCTGCCCCCGCAGGTTCGTCAACTGCGCGAGGAATGAGCAGGAGCAGAACCTGGTGGCCTTCCAGCACCGGGGGCAGATTTACTACCGCACGTTCCGTGCCGTGGGGCCCGGCTCTGAGCTGCTGGTCTGGTACGGCGAGGAGTTCGCCCAGGAGCTGGGCATCGCCTGCGAGGCCGAGCCCTCGCGACGCCGCAGCAGCAGCAGCAGCGAGTTGGCTCCCAGGGCCACCGCCAGAGACCTGCAGCCCGTGCAGCCTCCACCAAGCGAGGAACACTGTGAGCACCGCTCACCAGAGACTCACCACTGCTCACCAGACTATAGCCACCACTCACCAGAGATAATAGCCACCACTCACCAGGGATGATAGCCACCGCTCACCAGAGATGATAGCCACCACTCACCAGAGATGATAGCCACCGCTCACCAGAGATGATAGCCACCACTCACCAGAGATGATAGCCACCGCTCACCAGAGATGATAGCCACTGCTCACCAGAGGTGATAGGCACCACACACACTACTAAGGTACAAATTTGTAACAGGTGTGGTGTGTAGTAGTAAACATTGCCACTGGGGAGACAAAGGCGGCCATGTGTGGTGCTGGCCACCCTCCCACTCGTGTACCGTGCCGGCCTTCATAGGTACTCGCAAACAACACTTGCCCAACAGTCTGATATGGCTGTTGGGGACCTTTACCTTTGTATATATACACACACGTGTTCAAGAGTGATCATGTCTAGGTGTTGGTGTGTGCGTCTTGTGCCTCTGGGATGACGCAGGTGGAGTGGGGGTGGAGGTCACAAGGCTGCCGTGTCCTGCCTGCAACCGTCAGTTCATCTTCCGCTCTAGTCTAGAGCATCACGTGCAGAGGAGACACCCCACTAAGCCCAGTAACAAAAGTCATCAGTGTGACCAATGTCCATACAGCACAGACGGCAAGAGTAGCTTGAAGATACACCAGAGAACACACACGGGAGAGAAACCGTTCAAGTGCACCGTGTGTGAGAAGGCGTTCGCAGACCCATCAACTCTTCACAAGCACCAGAAAACACACACGGGAGAGAAGCCGTTCAAGTGCACCGTGTGTGAGAAGGCGTTTGCACAACTATCAAATCTTCACAGGCACCAGAGAACACACACGGGAGAGAAGCCGTTCAAGTGCAACGTGTGTGAGAAGGCGTTTGCACAACTATCAACTCTTCACAGGCACCAGAGAACACACACGGGAGAGAAGCCGTTCAAGTGCACCGTGTGTGAGAAGGCGTTTGCACATCTATCACATCTTCATAGGCACCAGAGAACACACACCGGCCACAATGCATTTTCTCATCCACGTGGAAACAGAAAAGTCAGCCATCCTGAGCACAAAGCGCACAGCGCCGAGCTGTGAATTAGTTTCAAACAACAGGCCACGTGATTAGCCGAGGCTGTGCCACTCTTGAAAGTGATTTTGAACGTGAACACGGAAACCTACGGAATCCTCCTACACCTGCCTCACACCCTGTGGGGGGCGGGAGATTAAACCGACCCGGCCACCCCTCGATTGCAAGTGCGGAGTTCTCGGTCCCAACCACTGCACGTCCCCCACCTCCACCCCCACCACCTGGGGGTCCCTGTGTGTGTGAGTGTGCAGAGTCCCCCGTGCAGAGCTGCACTGTTGTTACCCTAGAGGGGGGCACCGCAGGGCGATCCACCTACAGATACCCCAGTCTGCACGTCTCCCGCCGGTCTCCGTGAGCACCGCGTGCCGTCTCGTAGCCCTGCCCCGTGCGACGTACGTACAGTGCGTGCAGCGTGCGCAGTGCGTGCAGCGGTGAACGGTGAAACCCACCCCGTGACCGGTGACACCCCGTGAACGGTGACACCCCGTGACTGGTGACACCCCGTGACTGGTCACAAGCACCCCGTGAACGGCGACGCCCACCCCGTGAACGGCGACGCCCACCCCGTGAACGGCGACGCCCACCCCGTGAACGGCGACGCCCACCCCGTGAACGGTGACACCCACCCCGTGAACGGCGACGCCCACCCCGTGAACGGCGACGCCCACCCCGTGAACGGTGACACCCACCCTGTGAACGGCGACGCCCACCCCGTGAACGGCGACGCTCACCCCGTGAACGGCGACGCCCACTCCGTGAACGGCGACGCCCACCCGTGAACGGCGACGCCCACCCCGTGAACGGCGACGCTCACCCCGTGAACGGCGACGCCCACCCCGTGAACGGCGACGCCCACCCCGTGAACGGTGACACCCACCCTGTAACTCTGCAGACGTCTCAGACGAGTGAAAGTGTCGAGAGATTCTCTGCGTCGTCCCGGTTGCTCGCGTGTCGTCGCACGGTGGTGGCGCGTGTTGACTCTTACACGGTTAAGAAAGTTGAGCGTTAGTTTGTGATTCTGTATAAAATTATATACTTAAACTAACAAAAATTATCTTGGGATTTTACTAAGTAAGGTCCAACAGAATATGTAGAGGCTCTTTTATCAGACGCGACCACCTGGCCATCACAAATGAAAGCTCAGCGAAGTGGCTCATCATTGTGTGGACATTGATAGCGGCCAGATACTCTGATTGCGTGATCTCGATTCTAAATGTCGAGGGGAAAAACCGGAGGACCTGGAGAAAAATCCACACGACCACGGGGAGAGAGAGAGACGCGCAAACTCAAAATATACAGCAGGCGTCAGGGTCGGAATCGAACCAACGATCTCCTGTATACCAGGAGAGGTGGTTAACATCTCAACATGCGTTCAGAGTATTTGGCTGCTGTAAATGTCACGTGATAAGCCACTTCGGTGCGCTGCCGTCATTTGTGATAGGCAGGTCGCTACCGCACAGCTCAGTGGGGGCCTTACCTGGAAAAGTAAAGTGAAGTAAAAAAACAAAAACCTGCTGTTGAGAATGACCTCACCGGACCGGTGGAGGCAGCGCTGACGTCTTGGTCCCAGTTGGCAGCGCCGGCGTCTCGTTGGTTGTGAAGGCAGCCCAGCTCACACAGCCCGTGCCGGTGTCTCCAGGAGGTGGGAGCGACTTGCTCTGTGTCAGTGTCTCCAGGAGGTCCCAGCGACTTGCCCTGTGTCAGTGTCTCCAGGAGGTCCCAGCGACTTGCTCTGTGTCAGTGTCTCCAGGAGGTGGGAGCGACTTGCCCTGTGGCGACACTTTTCCGTGACAGAGGTTTGTTCTTTGTTGTTGTTGTTGGGTTAGAGATCTCGTAAACATAAACACTGTGTCGTTAACCCACCACCACCCACCACCATCGCCTGACACGGCCAATCAGTCAGGGTTTGTCACGTAAACGAAACGTGCCAATTGGTTACCAACTTCAGCACACACGGCGCTTGTGTGTCGGGGAGAGTGAACCCACCACAGCGTTTACAATTCGAGTACTGGTGACGTTTCGCCGGCGATTAAATAACAACGGCGACCGGCTTCATCGGGCGACGTGCCAGGATTGTGATCCAACGCCATCTAACCCGGCGGCAACGACGACAAAAACCTTCGTCGCAGATACCGCCGGTCGCGAGAGACCGCGCGTGGCGCTTTGTGTTGCCGTCGCGTTGCCGCGAATCGTCGAAGCGCGTTCACGGTCCGTCGTTCTCCTGCAACGCGGCGGTGGTTGTTGCGTTCCTGAAGAACAACCGCGTTGTGGAGAAATAATTTAAACTATAGGGGGGGGGGGGGTGAAGCGTGGTCCGCGATAACACACGAGATGATGGGCAAGACGGAGGCGGGACTAAGACCGAGGCGCGTGGGTAGCGTCTAGAAGCATCCAGCAGCATCCCAACGCCTCCTCCTCGTTGCGACGCCGCTACGCCGAGGGCAGCCGCACGTAGAACCGCTTACTCCTACTCGCGTTGAGACGTAGTTCCGTTCGCTCGGTCGCGTCGCATCCAATCCGCGTCCGCGTTACGGACGGCGTGTATCCCCTTACGATACATTCACGGCGTTACGTCGTCCAGTTGGCGTCGTTAGAACTAACACGCAGCGTTGTAGCGGAACCAGACTGTACCCGTTGTCTCCTGCTGTTCAACGCAGAGGCCGCATCGACCATTCCAATAGTCGCCGTAGCCATTGCGAGCCCCAAGCTGTTGTTGGCTCCCGGCTCTTAAACTCGCGTTTTTCTGGATTTTCTTGTTGTTATTCTGTCTCTCACTGTTCAAATAAACCTACCGTTAAAATTATAGACTGATCATTTCTTTTGTCAGTGGGCAAACGTACAAAATCAGCAGGGGATCAAATACTTTTGTCCCCTCACTGTCATCTGTAATCGTTACACACAGCAGCACCTGGTCACAACTGCTCGCCGCTGATCCTAACAACACCAATCCTAGTCGTCATCCCTGCACGTCAAGGATGGTAAAACTATGACCCAACAAACTTACACATCACACTGTCCTACAGACTTCAATTCACACGCCCCTACAGATTTCAATTCACACGCCCCTACAGACTACAATTCACACGCCCCTACAGACTTCAATTCACACGCCCCTACAGACTTCAATTCACACGCCCCTACAGATTTGTTGTGGTCACGTGCCTACCTTTCCTATACTCTGCACTCCCATGGTGTTTGTTGTATTGTGTTTGTTGTTGTGGCATTCTGGCCCCGTGCCCCTACTGTGGACATCTATGGATAATAAAGAGCTTCACAGCTCATTGGATTCCTCCTCCCGAATAAAACATTTTAAACTTAAAAACTCTGATGACGTCACTGCTCCTTGACGTCACGCGTCTCGCCCCCCCCACCCAGAGTACGTTGGGCGAGGCACTTCAACAGCTTGAACGATAAATTATGTTAATGTGTCAGGCCCTTTATATGGAGTAACTTGGTGTGGCTTTGCCCATATAAGGAATACCGCAACGGGAATCGACGTATTTTTAACGATCCGATGCTCGATTAAACGAGAATCGACCGATTTTTGACGATCCAAATCCCGAACGCTGCTTGATCCAAGGTCGAACACATTCACAATTATTAACATAACACTGCTTTATCCATGCTCGAACACATAGACTCAGGTAGTCAACATATCGCAGCTTGATCCATGCATGATCGATGCTCGATCACATTCACACAGGTAGTCAACATATCCCAGATTGTCATGACGCATGCTGAAACACATTCACACAGGTAGTCAACATATCCCAGCTTGATCGATGATCGATGCTCGATCACATTCACACAGGTAGTCAACATATCCCAGCTTGATCGATGATCGATGCTCGATCACATTCACACAGGTAGTCAACATATCCCAGCCTGATCCATGATCTATCGATGCTCGAACACATTCACACAGGTATGTAAGTGCACAAATTATTTTTCTCTCTGTTGCTTTTACTTCATGTTCTATTCA